AGGTGTTAGAGAAATAGAATAACTCAACTTGACCTCAGCCTCTGGAAATGTGGAGGGAGATGTATTTTCCTTAGTTTTCTGTGGGGCCAATCTTATTTTAATTACACAGCATTCAGTTTGAGGTTTTTGTTCTTGCTTTTTACTTTGTTGTAGTTATTGTGTATGTTGTCCACCTCGCCTCCTTACACACAACATTCCATCACCTGCCTCAGTCTCTGCACAGGCTGCCTCCCATGCGAGAATGCCCTCTCTCCTCAGTTCCACTTCTTGGGATCTGTAGCCCGGGTGTCATCTCCTACACTAGACCTTTGCTAATCCCTCCTCCTCCCCTGGTAGTCAGTGCTTCTCTACACAAGACTACTTCTCTTTAACTTCTTATACATTTTATAGTTACTTATTTGGGTATTTGTTGGATCTCTTCAGTAGAATGGAAGCTCTTTAAGGGCAGAAGCTGTTTTACATTTGTCTTCCCATCATCTTTTCCCAGCAAAGTGTCTTTTACATAGTGAGCACTTAATAGACGATTATCAAATAGAGTTGAATACTAATTCACTTATGTCTGAGAGGACCCAGTAGCATCATGTACTTTTTATAATTCTCTTACTTCACTCATTTCTTTTCCCGGTTTTTCTCCTGCCTCTCCTATATGATTTTTAAACTCCATTTTGAGCTCTTCCATAAGTTCTTTCTGGCCTTGAGACCATTTCCCATTTTCCTTTGGGGTTTTGCCCATGGGTGTTTTGACATTGTTGTCCTCTTCTGCATTTGTATCTTGGTCCTCCCTATCACCATAATAACTTTCTATGGTCAGATTTTTGTTGTGTTTTTTTGTTTTTTTGCTCATCTTTTTGGGGGGCCTTTTTCCTTTCTTTTAAATTTGATCTCAGCCCCCAGGCTGTGTCTCGGGCTTCTTGTGCCAGTGGCTACAGGCACCTGATGCTGCACTGATGTTGCCTTGAGGCTCATGGGGGACCCTTGTGTCTGGCTGTGTTGAGGGGTGGGCTGGGGGGTAGCTGGCACTGTTGGAGGCTGTAGGGATCTGGTAGCTTCCTTGGTGCTGAGCTGGGGTCCTAGTGGCAGTATCTTGTGTTGCTGAGGCCCAGTGGGGTATTTTCGCATTTCCCTGGGGCTCCACTGAAGCCCATAGAGATCTGGCCACTGGAGGGTATCACATATTTTTTATGGCAAAATACTAGAAATACAGATTCCTAACATTAGTTGCTCTCATATTCAGAGTAAGTCAGTTTTCTATTCTCCTTTCTACAGTCTCATCCTCAGGCTTATTAATACCTTCCCTTCATTGAATTAATGAAATACATATATGTTAATATTGAGAAAAATATGTTCCATTGAAGGCATTAGTTAAGTGAGTGACAGTTATGGTAGTGTGGAAAGAGTAGTGGGGATAGAAGTTAAAAGATTTCTGACCTAGCACCATCCTTTATAAGTCAAACCAGAACATAAATGATTCCGTAATGAAAGTTGGGCTCCCCAACTCATAATAGAAACCCAGTGTCTACTTATATTCTATAACAGCTAATTAGACACATACTAAATTTAGACCCTAGTGCTAATGCTGATGCGAGCATCTTTGACTCAAGGAAATACCAGATAAGGAGAGCACAGTGAAAAATTAGCCATTCTTATTCAAATCAATATAAGTCAGCAAACAATTGAGTTTCTTCTATGTGTAAAGTACTGTGCTAGACACTGAGGACAGGTACCACACAGACCCCTTTCCCAACTAGAACATAAAGTTTGTGAAGGTTAAAGCTGGAAAGGTAGATTGGAGCCAGATGAGAAAGGGCCTTGAAGACCACTCAGAGATCTGAAAATTAACTACTTGTGTGTACTACAAACCACTTAAGCTCCCCAGACTCATTTCCTCATAAGTAAAATAAAGAACTTGGAGTAGATGGCCTCTAAGGATCCTTTCAGTTCTAATCACAAAAGAGTTTATTATATGGATAATGGGAATTTTCTGAGGGTTTTGAGTTATGCTCCTATGAGTAGGCGTGATCTAATCAGAGCAGTTTTTTAGAAAAACAACGCAGGTAGACTTTGAGCTCCTTGAGAACACGAGCTGTCTTTAATCTTTTTTTTTTTTTTTAATCGCCAGTGCCTGGCATATAGTAAGTGCTTAATAAATGTTTATTTAATGACAGTAAGAAGAATGGATCAAAGAGGGAATATACTAGAAACAGTGAGAACCGTGAAGAGAGCTGTTATGATAGTCTTGGCAAAAAGAAATGAAGGTCTGAAGTAAGGAAGTTGGAACAGGAATAGAAGGAAAAGCAATAGACTTGAAAGCCGTTGTAGAAGTAAACCAATAGAGCTTGGCAATGGTTTGGTTGCAGGGGGTGAGACAACGGAAGAAGTGAAAGATAATGCCAAGCTTTACAAAGTCTGGCTGATTGGGAAGATGGGGTGCCATCATCAGAAGTAGACAATGTCTGGGAAGATAATGAAGGTCAGTTATCTGCACAGAGGTAATAATTGAAACTGCAGGAGCAGATGCATTCACCAATAGAGACAGTAGAGAGAGAAGGGGAAAATGGACCAAATCTTGGGGGTACCCCAAGGTTTGTAGATATTGAGTTATACATTTCTCACAGTAAACTCCAATGTTCAAGGTTCAGGAAGAGGAGCCAGCAAAGGCTGATGAGAGGACTTATCAAAGAAATAAGAGGATAATCAATAAAGTACAATGTCAGAGAAGCCAAAAAGTGATTAAAAGTAGAGGGTGGTTGATGGTGTCAGATGCACACAGGGTAAGGAAGATGAGGACCCTAATAGGATTTTTGATCATAGGATTTGGGGAATTGGAAGTCACCTTGAAAGCCATTTGGTCTTGTCTCCCCTCATCTTACAGAGAAGCAAACTGAGACTCAAAGAGATCAAATGACTTCTGATGTCATGCAGGTAGTGAGTTAAGTGCCGGATCTGACCCAAGTCCGCACACTCCAAATTCAGTGCAACGTACCAAATTTAGCAGTAGGTTTGGAAGGAGGAACAGAGGACAGAATTGCCCAACCTAGGGCAATATCACACAAAACATCTTTAATCCCTCCTCTATAAACTATATGTCATGTGATTACTGGGAAACTAGACATGGGGACATTTCAGAGATAGAAAATGTGATTTTAAGAGCCAGAAATTTAAAATATCCATATTTGGATTATAATTATAAATCTAATGGATATATGTCATTTAAAGTGTCAAAATGCTACTCAAATTCCAAAAGTAAAATCCTTACAACAGTTTTTTTTCCCCAAAAAGTCATTAAATTTAGTGATAACAGGGTTAAAGACAAAAGCTAGATTGCATCAAGTTGAGGAGTGATTGGGAATTGATATGCAGACAGAGAATATGAACTTTTTTTCCCAGAAATTTATCAGTAGAAGGGAGGGGAGTTATATAGGAAGATACTCTGAGGGAATACTAGGGTCCAGGAAAAGATTTTTATAGATTAGAAGCCACTCTGTGAGAATCTTTGCTAGTTGATGAGAAGGAGATGGTAGAGAGGATGAGAGTGAAGTTACAGGAAACAGAGAAAGCTTTGATTGATGAGGCAAGGTCCTGGAGGAAATAGAAGGAGGGTGGGGTTGCTGCCTCTCCGTCTGAGCCTAGTGGGAAGGAGGAGAGTAGTATGTACAGTCCAGGCTGGTAATGATCCGCTTACCTTAGCAGATCTATTAGTTGGGTTCTCTGTCTCCATGATATAGAGACCCTTACAGGGTATCCCCACCCTCTGTCATCTCTCAGATTAGAGCTATCCTTTTTTTTTAAAGAGCACCCATAAGGAACACATATGTAGTGTGACTTCCTCACCTTTGAGTATACAGTTGAAATTACCTTGCAGGAAATCCTTCAAGCCAAAGCAGTGGCCTTCAGAGAGAGACTGTGTCAGAAGCCAGTAATGTTGCAGTCCCTGCCTATTAGTAAGACAGTGTGGCTTCTCTTCACAGAAGCAGCCAGAAATAGCTGATAACCCATATAAGTATACTGCTCACTGGGCTTTTTTATCTTTACTGAGATATGTGGGTCATGTAATAAGAAGGTCACAAATCTACAGGAGTGCACTGTGACAGGCTTTTGTACAGTGTATAAGAATGTACTATTTATAAACATTTTAGTACTATCTATATAAAATTTTTGTCAGTCATTAAACATGTATTTAGTGATTACTACATGCCAGGCACTATGGTAAAATGCCTGTCTTGGACCATTTTATTATGCTTCTAATGTCTATGCTTTTACTATGAAGTTAGAACTAACCATTTCCTCCCAATTTCAGATAGTTTCATTAGCATTTTTCCCAAAACAAAACTGAAATAGTATGGCCACAAGTTTGCTGTGCTAAATTTGCAAAAAACATTTTGTGCTAGACTCCATAGATTGAGTCAGTTCTTAGGTTATTAAAAAAATTCTTAAGTGTTCCTTTTTACACCTTTATTTTAATGAATTTAGATGTTGTGGACTGCCAGAAGTTCTTAGTAGAAAAGTAAAAGATTCAAAGAACCAAGGAAAAGTAAGGAACTTCTTCTTGTTCAGTCATTTGAGTCGCATCTGACTCTTTGTGACCTCCTTTGGGGTTTTCTTGGTAAAGCTATGGGAGTGGTTTGCCATTTCCTCCTCTAGCTCATTTGACAGATGAGGAAACTGAGGTAAGGAGAATTAAGTGATTTGCCCAGGGTCACACAGCTAGTACATGCCTGAGGCCAGATTTGAACTCACATCTTCCTGACTCCAGGCCCCCAGCTCTATCCACTGTGCAACCCAACTGCCCAAAGTAAAGGAGAGTTAGAATTAAATGAGAATTTTCCTGGGCTACAGCTGGCCTTCAGAAACCACAAGAGTACAGACTGCTCCAAGAAGTATTCTACTCAATTAGTACCCTTTAGCATACTATGTGTATATGTTAAAATACATATACATACATATATATATTTCATGCGTATCTTTACAGCAAAACATATGATATTATGTTCTTCCTACAGCAATAGAAGAATCCGAAAGTGATATTTACATGCGATTCATGAAGTCACACAAGTGTTACGACATTGTTCCAACCAGCTCGAAGCTTGTTGTCTTTGATACTACGTTACAAGTGAGTATACTCATTTTTCATAAACTTTTATGTAATTTGGATTCTTTTATGAAATAAGTACCCTGAGAGTCTTTCTTGGATACTTAGTAGCATCCACAACAAATTAATTAGGAATAATATTGATGGAGGGGGAAATCCTGAAATTCTTTCTGGAAATTACGAGTAATAAAATGATGAATCATCATCACTACATTAAAATGTGCATAAAGTATCTGTTCACAACTTTTAATTATTCTCTTTATACATATCAAATGACTTATGTTGATTGCTTTAATAACAAAATTTGAACATGGTCCTTTGGATACTTCAATGAGGTTCATTACAACCTAGCCAAGCTTTTTACCAGGAAGCCAGTGTAGTTATAGAATAATAACACGAAAGAAAAACTAGTGACACATGAGACAAACAGAAAATCTTAAGCAGCATTGTTTTTAACTTGGTGATTCTATGTAGAGAAATAAGGACCAAAAATAAGATTGAGGGGGAATATCTAAACAAACCACACATTATTGACTCACTAAAAGTTTGGTTCACCTATAAATGATAAACTAGGGTACATAGTCAACAAGCATTTGTTAAATGCCTACTATGTGTCAGACACTGTGCTTTGTGATGAAAATATAAAGAAAAACAGTCCCTGCCTTCAGGGAGTTCTCAGTCCAATAGGGCAGACATCACATTCAGACAAAATACAACAACATACAGACAAAATATGTACAGGATAAATAGAGGACAATCTCAAAGTGAAGACACTAAGATTAAGGAGGACTAGGGAAAGGTCTCTTGCAGAAGATGGGACTTGGAAGAAGCCAGGAGGCAGAGATGAGGAGGGAGAGCATTCTAGGCATGGGGCCAGCCAGTGAAACAATTCAGAATCAGAAGATGGAATGTTGTGTTAGAGGAAGAGCAAGGAAATGCATTCTCTGTCCCCTGGGAACCTAAAATATAAGAAAAATGAATACATGGTGTATAATGAAGGTAGTAGAGCAATGCATAGCTAAATGATAAAATGAAAACTACTTGTCACTTGATTCATCTAGGAAGACTTCATCATGGAGTTGGAATTTTAAGAGTTTCAGCAGTGGAAGAGAGGTGGCTTAGTACTTGGAAGTTTTATCATGAATAACATTCTAGAACAGGTTATTAAATAGTCTGAGTACTTAGAAAAGAAACAGGAGATGAAGTAAGAGCCAGCAAGGGTTCTTAATTCAAAACAACCTTAGTTCTCTTTTTCTGTTTGTAAGGTTCATGGATCAGGAGAGACTGCTGTAGACAGCAGCATATCTTGATTTCAGAAAAGTATTTTATGTGATAGCCTTATGGAGACAAATGGACTGTACAAATAGGAAAAGTCTAAGCTATGTGAGCAACTCTTGCTACAGAATATTGGTTAATGGATCAGTTTTAACTAAGGTTGCCAAACTCACTATCTGCCTCCTTCACACCTACACACGTGGTTCCGCATGAATGGAGCTGGAAGAAGTCCCAAATCCATGTTGATTGAGTTCACTACAAATTCATATTATCTGATCACTGCAGTAAGATATTCCTTCTACTCCTTCCTAATCAATTCTCTTTCCCACTCACCACTGCAGCTTAGAACAGCTTCTAAACCTTCTCTTCTTTTCCCAAGCCTCCCACAGTTATCTCCTTCCCCCACTGTCTCAGTTAAGGACTTCAGTCATCCTTTCCTTAAAAAATGGAGAACATTTGCCATGAGTTAGATCTTCTCTTTTCCTCATCTCACATTCCCTTGACATCATCCCTCACCATTTCTTCCTTCGCTCTAGTCTCTGATATAGTCCTTCGTGCCAGGGTCAACCTCCACATGGATCTCTGATCCCATCCATTCTTCCCTCCCTCTAATCATCATTCTCTCCCTATCTACTAATTCATCCCTACCAGCCTACAAATAAACCCCAGCCTCCCCTCACTTTAAGAAACCTCCACTAGTCATCATCCTATGTCCTCCTCCCCTTCTCAGATAAACTGCTTAAAAAAGTTATCTCTGGTGCTTCTGTCTCTTCTAAACCCTCTGCAGTCTGGCTTCCAACCTCATTTTTCAACTGAAACTGCTTTCTCAGAAGTTATTGATTATCTCTCACTTAATGGATCTCATAGCCTTTTCTCATTGTTCATCTTTCTTGGCTTCTCTGCAGAATTTGACCCTGTTGCCCATTACCTTATCCTTAATAATTTTTCTTCTTTGGGCTGTCATGGCACTGCACTCTCTTGATTCTCCTCGGTCTCTTTTGGTGGCTCTTCATCCGTGTCATGCCCATTCCCTGTAGGTATGTTCCCAAACACATTGTCCTGGGCTCTTCTCTCTTTTCTCTCTCACTTAATGATCTCATTATCTCCCATGTCTTCAATTATCATTACTCTGCAGAAGATTCCTAGATCTTTATATCCAGTCCAAGTCTCTTTCCCTGAGCTTTGGTATCCATATTCATACTGGCTGTTTCATCGGCATCTCAAACTCAACATGTTCAAAACAGAACTCATTATCTTCCCTTCCCCCCTTTCATATTTTTCTATTACTGTCAAGTATACAATCCTTCTAGTAATCCAGGTTTGCAACCTGGGCATTATCTTCAACTCCTTGTTCTCACTCACTCCACATATCCAAGCTACCGTTTCTATCTCCACAACGTCATCGATATCCTATCCACTCATGCAGCCATTTCCCTAGTTCAGATCCTCATCACCTCTCTCCTGAACTATTTCAATAATCCAAATTGATTTACCTCACCAAGCGTCACTTCATTCCACTCCATTTTTTATGTAGCTGCCAAAGTGATTTCATAAAATGTAAGTTTGACCATGTCACTTCTTTACTCAATAAACTACTGTGCCACTTGCTATGACCTCTTGGATCAAATTTAAACTCTTCTTTGGGGCATCTGAAACTCTTTCATGGCTCCTTACACATTACTCCTGTCCATGTACTCTACAGTCTAGCCATACTAGCATGCTGGATATTGTCACATATAACTCTCCATCTTTATCTAACCTCTTAAAATTCCTGTCTTCCTTCAAGACTCTGCAGAAATTTCCCATCCCCCCTGCTCAGAAGTTACTGTTTTTCCACTCTGTATGTATCTGGTATATATAGTATCTATTTTTACACTTCTCTCCTTGGTTAAAATATAAGATTCTTGAGGATAGGGATTTTTTTTTCCTTTCTCTTTGTATCCCCAGGACTTAGCATAGTGCCTGCCCTATGGTAAGTATTTGATAAATGCTGATGAATGATTGATTACAGGGAAACCACTTATTGAATGTGGGACCTTAATCAAGTTTAATCTCTTTGGACCACAGTCTCTTCATACTTCAAATGTGGATAATAATACTTGTGCTACTTGCATCATAGGATTGTTGTGAAGGTCACAACATGTATGTGAAAGCTCTTTGTAAAACATATGAAAATCCTAAAATTACAGCATTGAAACAGTTGGCACAATTCTGCAATTTAAGCAGCAGTTACCTTACTAGGCTACTGATTCCATTTGTATAATTTAAATCTCTAAATAATCACTGTGGGTGTTGGTAAGAAGTACACTTTAAGCAACCCCATAAATCCTTATGTCTTAGTTTTGGGCAAAGTAGGGAGATAGTAAGAGATCTTTTGCCAAATGTTCAGGCTCCACAGACTCCCAGGAGCAGGGGTGTGTCTAGTCTTTCTCGTTTGTTTGCTTCAAGAGAGACAGAAAGACTTTCTGTGTGTGAGTCCTAGAAAGCAGACTGACTGAGATCAAACTCTAGTATAGCCCAATGAAGCCCAGAATATGCCCCATGTTCCAGGGTGAGGCCACATTCACTCACTCACCAATAATACTTGAGAGTAGAATGACACTCCTGCAGTTGCCCAGCTTTAACAAGATTCTATTCTTGTCACTATAAAGTATATTGTTTAACCTATCAGAAAAATAGGTAAGGAATAATGAGCAATTCTTCAACATGACAGTATTTTTATTGGTATAGGAGTACTCTGAACAAACCACAACCCAGAATCATTGCAGCAAAATTACAGGAACTCAAAGGAATAAAATTGCTAAAACTGCTCCCTGGCATATGCTAAATGATTCCATTTTTCATCAATTTCAACTTAAATATATCACAATTGATTTAATTACTTCAATTTAAAATAAAAATGTACTGAAAGTTGTGAGTTGTCAGATTCTAGTTTCCTGAAACACAGATGTCCCACTTCACATACATTGCCACAACCTCTTCTGTGGCAGGCAGGTCCTGATTAGGTTTTCATCCAATTAAAGAATGTTTCTAGATTAAAACTTTGTTGTCTGTTTTTACTCATCTAATCAACATATTAACATCTGGATGCTTTCTAAATCTTTTTAAGTTTTTAATTTAAATTTGCAGTGGTTTGGGCAGATTGCCTGTCAGTTGAGAAGAAAGCAACCCTTATAGGCACCCAGTCACCAACGAGGAATTTTCCCAGCTCTCTAAGTGCCAATTAGAACTAGGCCAGACCAGTCTTTTTCTCTTTTTCTTGGTTAATTGGTAACAGCACAACCCCTTTCTTGTTATAAATTTTCTGAGTGGTTTGTAATTCTTCCCTAAAGCAGGTTTTATGTGTGTATGGGTATATCAATCTATAAAATAGTAATCTTGGTGTGTGCTAATTTTGTTTCCCCTGAAGTCTCTATGTTCTTATTATATAAGCTATCAATTGCTTTTCTACTCAGTTTTTTTCTTATCGTAGAAATAACTTCTCCATAATGTTATCAGTACAATCTACAGACGTATGTTCTAAAACAATCACGTAATTGTGGGCAAAAGCTACAAAGTTTTATTATCAGTATAAGTCCTTTCTATTAAAAGTTTAACTTTTTTTTTTTTATCCAAAGAAAAGACAACTGAGAGTCGCACCATGCAGTGCTCTGGCTCCTGCTGTAAAGATGGTTTAGGTCAGATTTGTATTCAGCGTCTCACTTAATTTAAACTTCTGCCCTTTAGTAAGATGAAAAAAATAAATT